GGCACCAGCAGCCAGGAAATTAAAAGACATATTGCAATGGGAAAGTCTGCTGTTAGGGACCTCTCCAAAGTACTGAAGAGCAATGGTGTCTCTTTGGAGACTAAGGTGGGTCTGATACAGGCCATGGTCTTTGCTATCACTTTTTATGGAACAGAGAGTTGGACAATGACTAAGGAGGATAGAAGGAGAATTGATGCCTTTGAGCTTTGGTGCTGGAGAAGAGTACTGAGGGCACCATGGACTTCTAGGAAAACAAACAGATTCATCCTGGAAAGGGTCAAACCAGGCTGCTCCTTGGAGGCAAGGATTCTAAGGCTCTGTCTAAAACACTTTGGACATATTGCAAGGAGGGACAGGTCCTTGGAGAAGGACATCATGCTTGGTAGGGTGGAGGGACAGCTCAGAAGGGGAAGGCCCCCTATTAGGTGGATTGATTCAGTGATTGGGGTAATCAGGATGAGTGTGTCGGGGATGGTGCGATTGGCACAGAACAGAGCAGAGTTTAGGGATGTTGTACTTAGGGTCACTATGAGTCGCAAGCGACTCGATGGCCTATAACAACAACAACATCTTTTATTATCTATTTTGTTCTTTTTTCTTTGATAGAGAAATAACTTAATCCCTAAAGGTTAAGTAATCCCTGTATAGTTTTTAGCCACATTATCTAAATGTAGTTTTTAATGTCCACTTGTATTTTCATTTCAGTTCTTTCACAAAGCTACCACACCTGGCAGGAACAGAACAAAATTTACTGCTTGCCATGAAAATCCAAAGCCAATGGAAGAAGTTTGGACTGGACACAGCCAAACTGGTTCCTTATGATGTTCTCTTATCTTATCCTAATGAGACAAATGCCAACTATATATCAATAGTGGATGAACATGGAACTGAGGTAATGCAAAATTGTTGTTACTTATCATATAATACATCTTTTTGACGGTCTTCCCATCTTTCACATTTCAAAGAATGATGTCCCTTTTCAAGGAATAGCCTCTCCTGGTAACATGTCTAAAGTGTGAGAGAAGAAGGTTTGTCATCTTTGCCTCCAAGGAATGCGCTGGCTGCTTTGTTTCCAAGACGTATCTATTTGTTCTTCTGGTAGTTTATGTAATATTCAATACTCCATTTATTATGATGTTGCCTATTGGCCCAGTAGTGATGACCTTTGGTGTTTTTTTTTCATATGGAGATGTAATTCACATTGCAAGCTGTAGTCTGTGATCTTCTGCAGTGAACATTTCAAGTACTCCTCATTTTCAGCAAGCAAGTTTATGTCATCTGCATAACAAGTTGTTGATGAACCTTCCTCTGAACCTGATGTCATATTCCTATTCATATAGTCAAGTTTTATTAACTATTTGATCAATATAAATATTTTATTTGATCAATATAAATATTGAGTAGATGTGGGGAAAGGATACATTTCATATGCACACCCTTTCTGCTTTTAAACCATGCAATGTTCCCTTGCTCTGTTTGGCCAACAGCTTTGTGATCTAAGTATAAATTTTGTACAAGCACAATTAAGGGTTCTAAAATTTCAATTCTTCTCAATATTTGCAATAGTTTGTTATGATCCACATGTTAAATGCCTTTGTATAGTCAATAAAACGTTTAAGAATCTTACCAAGAACAGTTTGAGCCATTGAACACCAGTGAAAGAAGACCAGATGAGTTGTGAGATGACTGCCATCCATTGAAAAGAGCAAAAGATGATCACAACAGCCGAGGAGAACGAAAAAACCAAAATGGATGTCAGAAAAGACTTATGAAAATTGCACTAGAGCATTGAGACGCTTTTACTAAAGGAAGAGATGCCAAAGTAAAAGAGCTAAACAGAAGATTTCAAACAGCTGTTTGAAAAGACTAAGCAAAGTATTATAATGAAATGTGTAAAGAACTAGAGTCAGAGAATAAAAAAGCAAAAACTTGCTCAATATTTCTCAAAGTGAAAGGACTGAAAATCAAATTCACCCCTTGAATTGCAGTACTGAGAAATGCTATAGACAAAAATTTTTAATGATCCAGGAAGCATCAATAGAGGGAGGGATGCACAAAGTCACTGTATCAAAATAAAATTGACACTGAAAAATTTCAGGAATTACATATTAAGAAAAGACAATAGTAATGAAAGAAGAAATTCACTCTGCACTGAAGCCATTAGCAAATCAAGGTATATTTTAGTTTATAGTCTTTTCAGAGGGAAATCTAGTGGTCTATTGGTACAGATTTGTGCTGCCAGTATGAAGGAGTGCAGTTCAAATCCCCTTGCTATACCATAGGAGAAAGATGAACACTTTCCTCCTGTGCAATGACTGCCTCTAAAATTTCACTAGAGTGCTCTGGGGGCTTGTTGTTGTTAGATGCTGTAAAGTTGAGTGTAACTCATAATGACCTTCTGAACAATACATCTCAGCCCTCTCCTATCCTATGCCATCCTTATCAACTCAGACACACTTGAACCCATTGCTGCAATCACTGTGTCAATCCATCTCATTGAGAGTCTTCCTCTTTTCTTCTGACCCTCCACCTTTCCAAGCATGATGTCTCCCTGTAAGGAATAGCTTCTCCTAGCAACATGTCCATAATATGAGAGACAAACTTTGTCACTTTTGCCTCCAAAGTAGTAAGGAATTGAACTACAAAGCAAAGGCGTGTGGTTCAAATGCACTATCTTCTCCAAGGAAAAGAAGATGGACAATATTTTTGTGTGTGATTTACTGCCTCTGAAAACCCACTGTGGGTCAGCTATGGATCGGTTTCAACACAGTGGTACACAACAATAACTACCAAATCTCCCTGGAGAGTCAGTTATGATTCAGTTTTTACTTGATGGTACATAACAACAACAGCAGTATTATCAGAGATCTTAAAGATTTTCTGAATCTCTTGTGTGTTGTGAACATGAATTAGCACATGTCAAGAGATAGCACATACATATATGTGTTCTGGGGACAGTTAATAGAAATCCTTAAGTACTAACCTAAGTCGTTTACACTTCAGCTTCAGTCCGTGGAAATGCCTTAGGCCTAGACTAAACAAGGAGTCAAAGTTGGAGTCCTCAAGCAACAGTCCAAGTAAAAGATGGTGAAGGTCTGAATTAAGATACTATCTAGTTTTATGTGATTAGGTATTTCTGTCATGACAGGAGTCTAGAGCGATGGCTACATGGTGGAGTGGATCTGGGGGAGGGTTTGTAAAATAATGAAAGAATCTTTTCTTTTACTTTTCCAAGAGGGTAATATCTGGTCGGGGGGCGGGGGAGCCTTGGGAGGGGACAAATCTA